AGGCCCCATCTCTCAATACCATCACATTAGGGGTTAGGACATCAACATATGAATTTGAGGGGGGGGTCACAAATATTTAGTCCATAACCAAAATCCAAGCAGTTTGTCCCCAGAACTCATGATCTTAATCACTGATAGACTACACTTGAAAGTAAAGGGAAAACCCAGAGAAGTGAAGATACTAGAGATACAAGGAAGAAAAAAATATGATTAGAGAGTGAATACAAAATGAAACCAAGTATCCCTAAAGACTGTACTAGGATGGTTATTTTGTATTTCCCAACATACCCTGAGCAGTTGGTAACCTAGATAAGAGACACAGAAAGTTCCAGGTCCTACTTATCACAGGCTTCTTAGAAGTATTCACAATCTGCTTTAGTTCAGCCTTAGCCCAGGTTGTTTTTTCTATAAATGTTTTGTTTATCTTTCTTTGGTTCAATCAAGAACAAGCAACTCCATTAATCATTAATTTTCTTTAAAATATTCTTCTTTATTTAATTTACAAAAGTGAAAAAAATATCCATTTCATTTCTCTAAGAAACTGGGGGATTTGTATGAAATGACACTTAAGGCAATACATGAAATTTGCTATAGTTATATTTTCCAATGTTTTAATAACTCTAAAAAACAAACACGTGGCCAAAGTTTTATGCCCTTTTGCCAATCACGTTTTGCATATGGTGCATAACTCACTGTATTAGGTAACACAGGTCCTCATCCTGAAAGAAGCAAACACACTGCAGAGAGCATTGAACTAGGAGGCAAAGGGACTACAAGCACATTCTGGTCCCATTAGGGTAAAGCCCCAGGCAGGCTTAATCTATAAACCTCAATTCTCTCCATTGTAAAGGAAATTAACTCCCTTCTGGATCATTTTACATAACTATCAGCAATAACGTGTGTGTGTGTGTGTGTGTGTGTGTGTGTGTCGGGGAGGGGAGGGGACCAAAGAATAAAAATAACCACAATTTTATTAACCACAGCAACTATATTTCTAACGGAATACTAGGTGTTTACATAATTATATCATTTCATTTCAAGATACATGACTTTGATAAACCACGTTTAAAGATAAAAATTTCAACAAGAACATAATTTAGCATTCATTGTGCATGGGTCCACAATACCAGTTGGTTTTAGACAAGACAGACGTGAAAGGAACAGAGGAACCAGGGCCATTAATACTCCCGGCTGGCCAATAAGAGGCTAGATGATTTGAATCAAGCAACCCATTGAGAACACTTTAACATGTTGGGTAAAATTTGTAAGATATTTGTAAAATATTTTAAAGGTATCAAAGAGCTGACAAGATAGCAATTACCATGCTAAATGAGTGAGGAGAAAGAAAGTAGAAAATTGAGCTAGCTCAGACACTGCTGAGAGTATTTGCCCATTCCAACAAATTTGAACATTCTACTGACAGCTTCCTGAGGTTGGGGCCGAATAGTAAAGCTTGGGGCTCACCCACAGAATAGAACCCCCCCAATAAACTGGGACTCAATGGGCTACTCACTCGGGGAGCCAACTCCTGCAGTGAAAAAGCAGTTAGCAGTGCCTGAAGGGACTATTTGAGCTTGATTTAAGGAGATCCTAAACTCATAGCGCCCCCAAGCCCTAGCATAAACTAGAGCAATCCTCTCTGCCAGGCGTCTTCATCCTAGATTTTAAATCAGCGGTTCTCAACCTGTGGGTCGCGGCCCCTTTGGGGGTTGAACGACCCTTTCACCGGGGTCACTGGGTACTCGTATGTGGGCGTATCTGCATGTGGGCCTGGAGACAGATAGAGGAATGGTGTCTTGGTTCCTAAGACCATCGGAAAATATGTATTTTCCGATGGTCTTAGGCGACCCCTGTGAAAGGTTGAGAACCGCTGTTTTAAATTATTCTAAACCATCGGAGTGGGATTTTTCAGAGGTGGGATACCAGTTTCACCCTTCCCATGGAAACATTGGTATAACCTGCACGATAATTTAGAAGTTACCAGGCATATTCATAACAGCATCCCAGCAGCTCAGACCTTCACTGTAACCTTGACACACGCGCATACACACACACACACACACTTAATTATTTGGGGCTGCCTCGCTTACATTTGTTACATTAATAAATTTAATCAAGAAACCGATCTTCTCTGCCCTTTTACTGTAAATGACACCGAGTGGTCTAGATGCCATTGTGGGAACTAACCTGTGTACACTTTCAAGTGCAAGTATGATATGGTGGTTAGTGGCTATGGTGGCAAGATCACAATTAGACCTGTAGCAACTACACTCCAAATCTTCTGCACTAATTACTCTAACAGGGCACTTTAAAATAGACACATACAATGGAAATTCAACTCTAAGCTTTTCTAGCTTTTCTAGAGTTTTAACGGGGAAGAAGAGAAAGAGAGAAAAAAATTCCTGTCTTTTTTTTTTTTTCTCTTACACTATTACATATCTTTGTTTTAGAGATACCAATGCTGGTTGTAGGAAAAATCACAAACTTGGATAAGCAGTGCATCTGATTGAAAAGAATAGGACTGGTTAGTGAAAAGGGCTAGGTGCAAGTTCGGTCTGCTCTGTTAAAGAGCTGCATGACCTTGAGAAAGAAACCTGACCCCTAAAAGTTTAAGATGACACTGGAGGTCTAGATAAATCTTGTGGCTGCTTCTACATCCATAAACAATGATGTTTATGCTTCTGTGGATTTCTCAGTGGAGGCGTATCCTGATAGAAGCTGAGTTTATTCTAGAGGCCACAAGTGATTCCCATATGTAAATCATGGTTCCAGACAACATACAGATGCAGAACAAGACTTTCTTAACTCAGAGGCACACCGCTTGCTTCTTCATGCGTTTAAGGTGGCCATTTTTTAGAAAACCATGGGCAGGCTTTTGAAGTGGCTCAAGAATTCACTGCAAGTCCTAATAGGATAAAGTTTATGCATAATTCTGTGTGACCCTTCAACTACTGACATTCATGCTATGTTATTGTTAGCGTTGCATGTTAAGCTAGCAAATTTTTCAATGAACTCTAGCTGGCTTTACCACAGACACAGATGTTAGGCGGACTCCTTTGTTCATACGGTTCTCATTATTAACTCAACCCGGGTTGAATATTTGACTGAAGGAAAGGACCATATCATTATTTTCAGATTTCATTCTATGACTTAACTGGGCTCCATCTGCCAGCTTTAGAAACGCCAAATACTTGGCGCCAGACTTGGCGTCCTGTTCTATGACTACTACCCCCAATGCTTCAGCTTGAGGAAGTCTCCTCACCATCAAAACACTTTAATACAAAATTAAATTGTGATTAAGGGTTACTCATCAATTGACAGGGCATACCAAGCGTGTGCTATTTATGAATTATTCCACACAATATTTTCAGCCTAACAAATAGAATCCACATTCATAAAGGGGTTAGCTAGAAGGCCAGCTAAATGTTTTCATGATTTATATGGTCTGTGTTATACTTGAAGCCATATTTCTTTAATAGGTGAACTGGAATGCCATTGGCTAATTCAATCTACTCTAAAGCTATTTGAAGGCTCTGGACAGCTTAAGGAACATTCTGAATATAAACATCATTCCTCTAGTCACCTTTGGGCAATATCTCTAAGCATAAATGTGATAAGAGGATATGGCATAGGAATGCCTATCAATTTTTTGTAGGGTAGAATTCAAGTATTAAAATATTGACACTAAAGCCACTTAGAAAATGTTAAAATCACCTTAATTCCCAAAATAAAAAAAAAATTTTATAAACCTGGTTAAAGATATAAATGAAAACAACATAAAAGAAATAATAAAAAGGTAATGCTATCACTGCTTCCATATGTCTGCATCACAAACAATAATATAAGAGGGCAAGAATACTTTGAATCTATCTTTGATGGTTATTAGAAAAAAAGTAATTCATGTGTAGAAAAGCCCAGGGGTTTACACTACAGCAGTCCCAAACTACTGAGAAAAGAGGGACCAGCTTTCCACCATAAGAAGTTATATAGAATCAATTTGCTTTAGTGATTCTTTAAACATCTCACAGTATCTTGGAAGAAGAAGACTAATTACACAAATGCCCAATCACCTGTCCAATGTTTTAAAGACATCTGAGACAAATGATCATTTAGCCTCTTGAACAGTTTTGAGTTCTCATTTCCTTACTTAATGTGTCAATCCAGTCTTCTGTTTGACACCTTTCATCCTAAGAGCACTCTTAAAACAACAATACAAACAAGCTTCCCCGTAACTCTGACACTGGGTGAAGCCGATGCGTTAGAAAATTTAGGTTTACTTCTTCCTCTTTATGTTAGCACAGCTCATCCAACACTGGAGACTTGAGTCTCAACATATTTTTCTCTCCTGTGGACTACCTTCTCCAATTATTTTCAATGGCTGAGACACACCCCACGACACACCTCTCTCTACTGTTTACCAGTCACTCTTTAAACATGGCATCCAGAAGTAAATACCTCAGATATAGTCTAATCAGTTAGAGCACAGTGGGACTAGTACTTCCAATGAATTAAAATTTAAATATTTAAATAAAAAAAAAAGAAAAGAAAAGGATTCTGACCAAGTCAATAGTATAATACAAGAAACCTTGGACATCTTAAAAGAATTAGAAGCAAACACCAAGTTTTCTTGTAGAAACAATGCTATTGTAACTTCAACATTATTATTTGCTATTGATTTAATTTTATGAAATTAAATGTTCTTACTAAAAAAATAAAAAATAATAAAAAAATAAATACAATTTAAATATTTCTTAATACTGACTAAATATGTCACATGAGAATCAGGCTCTTAGTAAGATACAGAAATAACAGAAAAGCCACATTAACAGTAAACCTTCCATTAACAAGCATGTGGGAAAGTTTGGTTAGCACTTACCGGAAATAGACTAACCTCCATTTATACAGAAACTCTTAAATTTGAAATAATTTTACCACCAAATATCATATCCTTCAGCCCAAATTTTAGTATTCAAAGGCTGAATTTTTATTTTTATACTTACCATGTTGTATGTCTTTCATATCTAAATGAAGGCTAGACATTAATATTCCAACTGCTTGTGACCTTTTGTTGCTTAATAACTTGACCACCTGCTCAAGAAAGAAAGGAAAAGGGGAATGTTAATTTGAACTCCAGTGATATGCTTAATAACATGTTATTTTTAATCCTAAATGAAGAACAAATAAAGTCATTATTTAAATTATTCAAAAATGATTTGAAAAGAGCTTTTGGGTTTTATATCATACATCTTCAAAATGCACCATTCTTCCCCTTCCCCATATTCACCATCGGCCTCAATGTCATTCTCTTTACCAGTCTTTTAAGAGCTTGATCTGTCAACAAGTAAAATTTCTAATAGTTTAGGAAATTAGTTTGGTCTCTGTAAAATAACAATTACACATTTGATCATTTGCAGCACGAGATTTAAAAATTGTTCCTTTTTTATTGTGGAGCCTTGAAACACTGATCAACAAGTGAAGGGCAAAATAAAGTACATACTTGGAGAATCTTGTTAGATCAGATCAGTTTGACCACAAAACAGGGAATGTGCTTTTAGTCAGACCTTTAAGAACGCTCACTATTTTACTGGAAGTTCCTCTCATTCTGTATTTGGCCCACATTCCAACTAATTAATAGAGGGATATGAGCATCAAATCCAAATGCTAAGTCAGCTCAATCCCGAATCTGGCTTTCCAGAAGGTTCTGAAGTCACACAACCCCACAAGAAGTCTTCCTGAAACAGAGGTGGGCCTGCTGCTATTGAACAGACATGTTTAAATTATGTTTTGCAGACACTAGCACACCAAAGATAAATCTTGCTTGTGAAACTATTATCTCATGTCCCGGTCTTGTGAAGGAAAGCAATTTCTATTTACTATCAGCATTTTGTTATAAATCTGCTTAGAGAAACACTGGAGGAAAAGAAAAAAGGTTATGGTTAAATTACCAGAAGTGACAGCTGCCCTAAAAGCTATCACATATGTTGACCTTGTCTTTCTTTTTGGTTTAAGCTGGGTCAATCAGGAAACTAATAAAATAATTGTGCCCAGCTGTCACACAGATTCACACAGTAAAACAATATTCTCATTAACAATAATAACATTCTTGGCTCTCTAGCACAGTTGGGGGTAAAGAATAACACAAAAGATTTTCAGAGGACCCAACCACAAAAACTTCCAGGGCCAGCCAAGTGGTGTGTTGGTTAGGAGTTGGCCAGCTCTGAGCATCAGGGCCCGGGTTCGGATCACACATGAGGGCCAGTGATGCTGCGCCCTCTACAGCTAAGATGGTGAACAACAGCTTGACCTGGAGCTGGGTTGCCAGGAGTTGCCGACAACGGCGTAGGCTGCAGTGGGGCTGGCCGGTAACAGGCATGAGCTTTCGTGAGCTGCCATGAGCCACCGTGAGCAGCCGTCCAGTGGCCAGCAAGTGACTGCCTCACCCGGGAAGAGCGCAATGATAATACCAACATGGGCCAGTAAAGTGATGTCCTCCACAACTAGACTGAAAAACAAAAGGACAGCAACTTGTTTGTTTCCCTTCCCAGCTCTCCCAATTAAAAAAACAAAACAAGGGCCGGCCGAGTGGCGCGATGGTTAAGAACTCGCTTGGGATGCCAGAGGGCCCCGGTTCGGATCCCACATATGAGGGCCAGTGACACTGNACACTTGTTATGTAGCTGCCAAAAATTTTTAAATTACAGAGACGGCCGAGTGGTTCAGTTGGTTAAGAGTGCGAGCTCTGAGCAATAGGGTCGCCGGCTGGATTCTCACATGGGCCAGTGAGCTGTGCCTGAGCTAAGCTGCTGCTGAGTTGCCAACAGGTGGCAGGATAGTTCAGCTGGTGAGAGCACATGCTCCTAACAACAAGGTTTCCGGTTTCACTCCCACATGGGATGGTGGGCTATGCCGACCTGCAACTAAGATTGAACACGGCACCTTGAGCTGAGCTGCCCTGAGCTGCTGACAGCCGGCCAGATGGCGACTGGACTTAGAGCTAAGCTAGCTGTGTCCACCGCAACTAAGAAATGAAGGACAACAACTTGGCTGTTCCCCTTCCCCAATTCCCCAAAACATTGTTCCGCTTCCCCAATTCCCTGATAAAACCTTTAAAAAAAATTAAAAAAATAATTTTTTTAAATTACATATGTGGCTTGCAGTATATTTCTGTTGGGCAGCACAAGAAGATCTAACAACTTCAGACAAATTTCTAAACCCATTTAGCTTAGACCTAGATTTCCTTTCTTTTTCTTAAATTAAATTTATTTGTGACAATGGTTAGTAAAATTACATAGGTTTCAAGTGTACATTTCTATAACACATCGTCTATATGTCACATTGTGTGCTCACCATCCAGAGTCAGTTCTCCTTCCATCACCATATACTTTTCCCCCTTTACCCTCTTCTACCATCCCCCTCCCTCCTTATCCTATCTTTTTGTTTTTAAGTTCAAAAATAAAGGAAGATAAAGGTGGTATCTGGGTCAAAGTTACCTTGACTGTTGAGCAGGCCTCACATCTTGATCATTAAAAAAAAAAAAAAAAATGGCCGGCCGAGTGGTGCTTTGGTTAAGAGTTGGCTTGAGATGCCAGAGGGCCCCTGTTCGGATCCCACATACGAGGGCCAGTGACACTGCCCTCTACAGCTAAGATGCTGAACAACAGCTCAACCTGGAGCTGGGCTGCCATGAGTCGCCGGCGACGGTGTAGACTGCANAAAAAATACCTTATAACTTGAATATGAATTGATTCATATGCCAAGTGTTTCTATCGATAGTGTTATCTTCTTCAGAGATGAAAAAATAGCAACTTAAGATCAGAAAAACAGAAGGCATGTATTCTGTCCTATGAACACTTTCTAACTTCAGATCAATGCGGTCTGGCCCCGTGTGTGCACTCTGACAAAACTGATTTTGCAAAGTTCCTATCAGCTTCTGGCTCCTCAAAGCTGTGGGCACATACGTATGAAGCCATATGGCATTTGACTTTCCTGCAATGCTGACATGTTCATCACACCCTCAGAGAAACTCTACTCCAGGGACCCTGCCAGTCCTTCTCAGGCCTCTTTAAGGCTAATTACTCTGACTGTGCCTTAAATACTGGCGTATTCCAGAGTTCTGTTCTCATCACTTTAGTCTCTTCACTTTATGACCTTTGCAATATTGAGATAATGGCACCACCATTTGCCACTCACCTACCAAATTTAGAAATCTAGAAATCAATCTAGACTATTGCCTCTCCTTCGCCTGGTGAAACATACTCTGGTCTGTTAACAAGTCCTGTCGATCTTAACTCCTCTCTATCTTTGGAATTCACCTCTCCTCCTCAGCTCTGTTAGGTCAGCATTGACTCCTATATTGTATGTTACATAAATCAAAGCAAAAGATTTCTAACTAGTCTCCCAAAATCTAGTCCAGTGATTTTCAAAGTGTGTTCCCTGAGCCAGCAGGCATTATCATCACCTGAGAACTGATTAAAAATGCAAAATCATGGGTCCTATCACAAACCTACTAATCAGAATATCTGGGTGCAGAAAGCATCCATCTGCATTTTTAAAAGCCTTCCAAGTGATTCTAGAATCAGTGATGAGTTTCATCTTTTCCTGTGCATTTCCAAATTGATTTCCAAGTGCCATCTTTTAAAGTGCCGATGTTTGCATGTCATGTCACTTCCTTTTTTAAAACATGCATAGCTCGTGTTTAAGGATTAGCCTTTTTTTTTTTTTTTGGTTTAAGGGTTAGTCTTTTTTTGAGAAGTAATATAATTTGTGTATTTTATTTAAAAGATCACACAGACTGCTTCACAATTCATACCTGAAACTTGATTTATAATTCAAATGAACTTGATTACAAACTGTATTTTATATTTCAATGTCTAAGAATATAGAGAGGAATAATAACTATCTATCACATTCTGGAAGGCATACATACAGGAGAGGGGAGATGTCTAAAAGGACTGACTCACAGCTCCTAGAGTAACTCAACCTTCATGTTAGAATAAATAATCTTCATGTTATTTATGCTTTCTTAAAAACACACTAGATAACAAGAACCTGAAGTTACCAAACTAGAATAATCTTAGAATCCAGTGACCACAGATGCAATGGGGAGAAAAGAGTTGGCTTTTACAAGATGATCTCAGAACAATTCATTGAAAAACAAAAAATGCAGAATTAACAAATATGAAATATACAAAATTAGAACATACTATAACCCAGAAAAAAAGGCTTATTTTCAATGATCTAAATTCACATCAGATTCAGTTAATACTCTTAATAAAGTTTTTATTTTAGACTCTTCTGGGAGGCAGGACTGTGTAGAAATTATAAATAAGGACTCTGTAAAGTAAGCAGTATTTCTCAAACTTTCATATGCATATAGTCATCTGGGATCTTTTTCAAATGAAGACTCTGAATCCTAGTTCTGAATGGGGCTTTCTGGAAAAGCTACTCCAACATCTTAAAGCCTCAGTTTCCTTACCTAAGAAAATAACAACAGCATCAACTTCCAAAATCTCAGTGGATATTCAGCATGACAATGCAATTAATACTCTTAGGAATATATCTAGCAAACACTGTATTCATTGCAATAATAATAGATATAAGAAGTTAAATACTTAGGAAAGCATTTTAATGTTTTCTTAAAAATGAAATGTCTGTCAACTTTTCATTACTGAGTTTAATTGTACCAGGGAATTATCTTTCTTTCCTCCCATGTAATTTCCTAAGAAATTCAAACCCTTATTAGTTCAGAGCAGTTTTCCATTGGATGCAAATGATTTCTCTATTTAAACTCTCTTCCCTGGCATCCTATAGGACAAATGACACATTCTATTTTTCTGCTTTGAACAGGTGCAATATTAGGCCATGGAAGAGAATAAAATCATACCTATGACCCAGTCAAAACTTTTAAGACTCTAATATAGTTAATATAATTAGGCTGCATAAACAGAAATGTGTTTAAAATTAACTAATTTTTGGTCTGAAAGATTACTGCATTAAGGAGATACCCTTGGTCTATTTCCACTGTATATGTTTTTTGTATGTCTTCATTTAATTTGTAAACTAAGCAATAGGAACTCATAGAAATATGATGA